CCAACCACCTGGCGCCTAAACCCATCAACACCACCACCACTCCGCCTCGTGTCCTGACTGCGGAATAGTACGTCATGCGAAAGCATCGGCATGGCCTGGTAGGCCACCGATGGTGCTGAGAGAGCCGTGGATGTGATCTTCAAAATCAACGACTTTCTGGACAACACGACTCTTGGCCTGCTTGTCTCACTGTTCGAGCGAGCAGCCGACGGCGGCGCGATCAGTTGTCGGTTCATGTTTTCAATTGGGTGCGTTCCTGCATACAGGAGACATTGCTGAAGATTACTATGTTGCTATTTAGTTAGTGCGTTGACTCGGTATACGAAAAATATACTGAACTGAAGCGCAAGTATGACTACGACTTCCTGCTGCCTTTGAAAGTCCTTCCAAGGAAGATGTCCAAGAAGGAGGTCTTGTTGCAGCGAACATGGCTGCTGCACTGGTCGCTCTTCCCCATCTTCACAGCACTTCGGTCTGGACTTGTGATGCATGCCTTCAGAGAAAAGCTTCGCACTTCGAAGGGTAGGCAACAAGACAGCAAGCAGCAATCATCGCAGTTCATGTCGGGAGAGGTATCTTGCGACAATCGTAGCCACAGTGACAGAGTGAGTTGCATCATCTTTTTGGATCCCAGCCCACACGGGGGGTCGCATCACCGAGCGTCTATTTGTCGTTTCGTGATCGTGTTGATTCGGAACTGTTGAGGTGTGATTGCTAAAGCTGCGTGTACAGCAGTTTACAAGAGGACTTGCGCTTTCTATAGTAGTGTAGCAAGAACTGCAGCAGCAGAGCAGCAGACCCAGTAGTAGCTGTCATATTTATTTCTGCGGTCATAAAGCACAATGCAGCAAGTACTTTCTATTTTCTTTTCTATTTGCTTGGAGGCTTGAATCTAAAGGACCCTGCCGATGTGGCACCTACATTGGGAAAGCCATGTTGAAATGACCATGATGTGAGCTCATCGCATCGCGCGCGTTCCCCTAGACAGCTGTGTTCCAACAAAACGTGATGTGACTAAACTACCCCACTGTAGCTGGTAGATAGTCGTCGACAGCTTGAAAAATCTAGAGACAGCGCGTCAAAGCTTGATGGAAGTTATATGGAAACGATGATCTCTTCGAAGTGACTTAGGCAGAGGGATTTTTCAGTATCCCGAACTCGAATCGCTAAGTTAACATGGAGCCTGCCCTTCACATGCGACTGCGACGCATCTACCCAAAAGCCTTGGGGTCACAAAGGCTGAGAAAGTGGAGGTCAAGTTGCTGGACTTCTTCTTGAATGAGAAGAGCTTGCTTTGGGCCCAGTCTGGCGGTCGAGAATTTTTCAACGCTGTCGAGAAAAGTGGTTGTTAGCAGCAACGGTCAAGATAGTGTCAAGATGCAAGCACGACCAACTGCGACGGATTATAACTTCGAGCCCTCGCTGCCGCAGAGAGTACTTGAAGAGATCCTTAAACAGTGGCCACCAAGAGGTCCTGCATCTCACTCTCTTGCCCGCACCTCTTCCGCTACGTGGCCGCCTGCCTCATTCTGCAGAAGCGCCTGAAGCACCTCATGAAGGACTCGGGAGCTTCCGACGTTAAGACCTACAAGGGCTAGTAACAGGGATGCTATGAAGCTTCGGGAAGCAGTGGCTTCACGGGCATGCAAGGTATACTTGGAGGCTCAGAAAAAAGAGTAGCTGAGTAGGTTGTGACATTGTGGGCAGGCTTATAAATACTCGAAATGCAGGCAATTCTCACAGGAGCCCTTCCTCGAAATGACATATGTGAGCTCATGTGTCTTCCTGGCCCTGTGCAGGACACTGTCTGGATCATTCAGCACGAAAACGCGGCCTCTCATCAGAATAGCCTCACTTACGATGTTTGAGGAAGCTGACACCCCCATGTCTGCAAAATGGCCAGAAGTAGCTCACTGCCGCCACCACCATCAGCAGCAGCATCATCGTCGTCGTCATCTTTATCAAGGTCATCGTCATCGCCATAGCCACTGTCGTCTTCATCATCATCGTCTCATCGCCATCGTCATCGTGTCATCATGATCACGAACATCATCATGAGACCACCACCCTCATTTTCATCACCACCACCGCCCCAAACACCTTCGCCACTGCTGCCGCCGCCACAGCCACACCGCAACCGCCAACACCACCCCCGTCATCATCATCGTCATCGTCAGTTTCGGGGCCTACCGACTGGAAGCAATGGTTGCTTGAGGTTTACAGCGATCCTGTGACGCGCTTCCTGATGGCCCTGTACGTGGACATGGATGCTTGTCAAGGTGTTAGCTTCGTCCATGCACGGTATCAGAACCAGACCTAGATCGTACGCAGTGCAAGTCCGCACCATTCTTCGCCGGCGGAGAACCATGCCGGATGTCTCCCAGTGCGTCGCGGTTCAAAAGGGACGTGGCAAACCGAATCTAAGGACTTCGATGAGGCCCAGCACGAGCTGCAGAAATGCGAATCTTGGCTGCTGCAGGTTACTGGTGGATCACGATTT